ATGTTCAACTTATTGTGGGGATGGTTTGTTGATTAACACTGTTGGCACTGTTTTTGGGACACCCAAATCGATGAGCACCATTTTTTGTCCAACATTTATGATGCATTACCACTGATTTTCTTCATTCAACGTTTTTAGTGGGGATGATTTTTATTGATTAACATTTTTTGCACCATTTGTGCGATCTCTCAGAATACGGTTATTTCCGTTATTACTGCTTAACATTTTCTTTCATTCTTATGTATTTGATTGACATTGTTTTCTGATTCTTTATTGTTGTTGTCCACCATTTCGGTTTCATTACCATTGTTTTTCTTCATTTACATTGATTCCGCCATTGTTTTCATGAAGGCAGAATACGGTGAGCACTCTTTTTTCGGTGGTCGGCATCATCTTCCCCGGCGACCACTGCTGTTCTTCGCACTGTAATTGGACATTTCAAGTTGGTGGCTTCCTGCGGTGGCACTACTGTGTTCAAGCCCCCGGGAAAAGGTGTGTTGTTTTTTTCAAAATTTTTTTAGTTTTCTCTAATCTGTCTATGAGATGGATGTGCTGGTTATATCAATGGCTGCGATGGGTCGTTGGGACTTTTTTTTATTTTCCTGCACTGCTGTGTTTAATCCAACAAACGCACACATACTGTTTTGTTATAGTTGTTTCATGGGTATGTTGCAGCAGTAATGGGTTCTCCAAAATGTGTGCAGGTATGGAAGGGGGAATTTTGCTGGTATGTTCGTATGGTTTAGTTAATGTTCTTATTCGGTTGCATTAGGATTCGTCGTATGTGAAGATTGTTGATGAAATTTGTGGGAAGTTCGATGGATTGGTACCAGGTGCGGTGTGTTTGTTTTTTGATTTTCCCGGGTATAAGAAGTTTAAGATGGATAGCGACGACGACATTCAAAACATGTTGTGCCTTGCTAAGTCGTTCGGGATAAATCACATTGAGGTCCTCATTCAAGGAAGTTGTGTTGGTGTGGGGGGTAATCGTGTCGTGTTGGATTCCGCGGACGATGGGGGAATATCACGGCATGTTAGCGGGAATGGGTGCGTGGATGAGCAGATGGATTTGTTACCAACTTACTGTTTGAACAAATCGAAGACGTTTTTGTCGGCGCAATGGACGCATGGTATTGCCCATGTAGGACAATGTTTTGATGGTGGAGCGATTGAATTCCATGAAGTTCTGTGTAAGTATGCTGTTGAATGTGGATTTCAATTTAAGTACGTTAAAAATGACTCCGTGCGAATTACGGTAGTGTGTAAGTTTGCGGCTTCAACAGATTGTCCGTGGTCAGTTCATGCGTGGATGTTACCGTCAAGTGGGGTGTTATGTGTTAAGAGGTTTGATAGTGTGCATACTTGTGGGGCTGCTATACGTACTTCTAGGAACCCTCGTACGGGGTCTGATTTGGTGTCTACCGTTGTTGCAGATCGGGTGCGTGATAAGCCATTGACGCGCCCCACTGATGTTGTGTTTGATTTGAAGAACGAGTATGGTTTGGACATTAGCTACCGGGTGGCATGGTTGGGTGTTGAGAAAGCTAGGGGCAAGGTGTACGGGGATCACGCTACGTCCTTCGATCAGCTGAGGTGGTATAGCAATTCTGTTATGCAAAAAAACCCAAACAGTTACATTATCTTGAGTTTGACCAAAAAACCGGGAGCTTCGTTAGGTATTTCATATCATTTCGCGCTTGTATAGATGGGTTCAATCACTGTCGTCCTATGCTATTTTTGGATGGAACGTTTTTGAAAGGTAGATTTAAAGGCAATTTGCTCGCAGCTACTACAAAAGATGCCAATCAAGGTGATGGTGTGTTATTTTATTCCATTAGTGCTTATTTGCTGAACATACTAGTAAATAAATACTTCCATTTTTTATACATTACAAATGTTTTTTTTCCATTTAACGAAGGAAAAAAATTGAGAACATTGAAATAGGGTCTCCTTAAATAAAACTGAATAGGAATGCAAGACACAGTGGCCGACTTATTCTTTTTTATTTTGTAAAATGTGTCGCACTTTATTTTGCGTGGATGGTTGTATAACTTTTGTCATGCCTAACTTTTTATGTTGCATGTTTGGTCTTAGGATTGTTTCCGGTAGCCTTTGCTATTGTTAATTCCGAGAATTCAGCCAATTGGGAATGGTTTCTTCGTAATTTGAAAGAAGCTGTTAGGGGTGGGCGAACATTAACTTTCATATCTGACCGCCACGTCAGATTATTACACTCTATGCCCATTATTTTCCCTTCAGCGCATCATGCATATTGTTTGTTGCATCTCCAAATGTACTTGCGGGATCGAATGAAATATGTTAACGCATCACACAAAATTGGGTTGATGCGAAAGTTACGGGAATGTGCATATGCACCCACTGTTACTTGTTTCAATGACAAATTGGAGGTATTGAAGAAGGCCAACCCAACTGTGATTGAAGATTTTATGAAAGACCTGCACCCCAAACACTGGTCTAATGCGTATTTTAGGTAATTCACGGCCTGCGCAATGGGTTATGGCATATTTAAAAATTCCCACATGTTTTTTTGCAGTATGTTTTATTTTTGTCTTTTTAATTTATGCTCCGTAAATGGGGTTTTTTTTTTTTTAAGGGGCCAACGGTATGGGGAGATGTGTTCAAATGCTGCTGAATATTTCAACAATTGGGTTGGTGAGGCCCGTCATCTCCCTATCACAAGCTTGGTCGATATGATAAGGGGTCAAATAATGGAGCAGATGTCGGAGCGCAGAGTTAAATGCAGTAAATAGGCAGGTGTGATATCCCCGAAAATGGAGAAAAAATTGGCGGCAGCGTATAACGACAGCAAGGCTTGGTGTGTGAGCCAGGCTAATGATGATGTCTACGAGGTCCACTTCCACCCATCGATGTTGGTTAATGTCGGCAAGCAGACATGTTCTTCTTTTCAGTGGCAGATCAACGGGTTCCCATGTTCCCATGCTGTCGTTGCATTCCGTAATAGTGGGAGAAACATCTACGATGCCATAGACTCCGTATTTTGCATTGATACATTTCGAGCTACTTATAGCGGAACCATATACCCCATTCCAACAGTGAGGAGGCCCCTGTTTAACCCAGCTGAATGTTTGATAGCTCCGCCGATGGCCAAGCGTCCTCCCGGTTGGCCCAAACGAAAGAGAATTCCGTCCGAGGGGGAGGTAGTGCAACGTATGCGTTGTGGTCGTTGCGGAAAAGTGGGCAATCACAATAGGAAGACATGCAAAGAGCCATTATAGGTGGTCTGCCATATGATTTAATTTTGTTGTTAACAAACTGGGATTCTGTTTTATTTTGTTTTCCGAAATATTTTCCTCATTTTTTTCAATCAGCCATTCACTTTCTGTTATTGGTTTAATCTATTTTGTAGGATATACATTTTTATGTAACCCAGCAACCATTTCAGTTCCCATTGTTGAACAATTACACTCCACCTTTAACACCTAACCATTTTAGTTTCAAATCTGTTTTGCTTAACACTGTGAAGACATGAAAATAGCCAATGGGTTTTATTTTTCAAATCTGTTTTGATTAACACTATCTACACATGAAAAAAGCAAATGGGTGCCGATTTTTGTTTCAAATCTGTGGACATCATAACAAATTTGGAAACCATTCATCCACTTTATGTTGTTGGTTTAATTTGTTCACCAAGGATCCTCTAGAGTGAAATTTTCATAAAGTTTCCTAGAGTACTACATTGTGTGGTTGAGATTTACTGGCAAGTCACATCAAAAAAATTGATGTGACTTGCTAGTAAATCTCAACCACACAATGTAATACTTTAAGAAACTTTAGAGAAAAATCACTCTAGAGGATCCTTGCTCTAATTTGTTTAGTAGGACATACATTTTGGGTCCCCACTATTGAACACTAACACTGCTCCTTTGAAACACAACCATTTAATTCTCAAATCTTGCTTTCATTAACACTGTGAATACATGAAATAAGGAATTGGTGCCGTTTAAGTTTACAAATTTGTTCACATCATACCAGAACATTCGCCCAAAGTGGACTCTGCCAACCTGTATCCGGAACGGCAATGGATTTTTAATGTTTCTGTGGCTGCTTACAATCCATTGTCATTGCACAAAACATGTACCCATTACCAAATGACTTACAATAAATTGAACAGGAAGGTAATTTTATGTTATGCTCAACATGGTATCATCACAATTCTGATTAAGATGGCAATGCGAAATTAATCTTTACTCGTGTCATACTTACCATGTGGTTGACGTGCTCAGTCGTTGCATGTCCACTTCCATATACATCAAACCACGCATACTCCCGTGGTGGAAAACAGGTTTACAAAACTGAGTCTCGTCATGCCCAACTCCTGCATACATCACACCATGTTCACATACCCAGGCCCATCTGCCATTTAAAAACAATGTACTTCACGTGACATAAAAGTGTAATGCACTGTGAAACTGTTATTATGCAAAAGGTGAGACAATTTGAATAGCTTACTAAATAATATCAACATTCATATCCACAAAATACTGGATCCTAACCCAAGATTAAAATGTACTTCAATATGATTTTCACAACATCAAACACAATGTACTTCAATATGATGTTCACAATGTACTTCAATATGATTTTCACATCAAACACGCTACATAACATGATTACGACTACGCATTGGGCAGCAAAACGTAAACAAAAAATAAAAAGGGGCCCCGATTTGAAATTTGTGATTACATCACCGACATGATTCTTGCACAACATTATACTTTGCTTCGATGTAAAAAACCCAGAAAAAAATTACACACACCCCCACATGTTAAGATAGTATACGCCAACAAACAAATAGGTAAACCATGTTCCCCTCAACCCCCCTATCCCCCCCCCAACCAAATTCAGGGAAACCCAGTACACACTTGATAATAAAATTGCATTACCATCTAAATAATATCAACATTCATATCCACAAAATACTGGATCCTAACCCAAGATTAAACCGTTCGCCACTTCTGCATTACCAAAAAAGTAACGTATATGAAACTAGTTTTTGCGTCCTACTTTTATGTGTTTCCAGACTAACAAAACATTATATACGCCGATACGGGAAAAACAGAAAAAAACATCCTAATGCTGTTGTTGCAACTTGCGCACTGGGAAATGTCTTCTCAACTTGTTATAATGTCCTCCCACGGAGTCCACTGCCCGGGTCACTTAAGAACATTTCCACCATTGCAGCTCGTAGCCCAGTTGGGGTCAGCCCATCCATCGAAGTATTCACTTCTGCACCACGAATGTACTGCCTGATTATGAAGCACACGAAAATCCCACAATCCGACCTGCACTAACAAACACCGGTGTCAATGTCACAGACGTGATACATCATCAAAACAGTACGCTCAAAATAAAATGAACATTTCTTACGACTCTGGAACTTGTTGTGGGCAATCCACAACAGATACAAAACTGCCATCAAACAGCTGTGCGCCAACAGCTGTAGGTGTAACTCGAGGCTTCACAAATTTGTTGTGGTGATCAGCCACCCATTGTTTCTGTCCATTTTTCAAATGTCAGTGCAGTTTTGTCCACAGTAACATTAACATTTTCCACATTGCAATCTGCCCATAATGCACATTGTAAACTGAAATTTGTAAACAGCACTTACCACTTTTAGAGCCTCATTGTAGTGCTCATCGCGCACTCCACGTCTTGGCCGCATCGAGTTGTAATGTTTCCAATTCCCACTTTCTGAATCGCACGCCATGACTGTCCAATGGTTGGCATTGTAGATTGGGATTACTGTGTATCTGCAACCTCGTGCAGCCTTCATGTGAACATTCAAATACTTCGCTCGGGAAACAGCACTACTGTTTCGCATCATATCCTGCACAATTGTCCAAAACCACCATCGGCGTACCAGGTTTCATTATGCAAATATTTTCCAGATTTCAAGGAATCAAATAAAACTGAAGATACATACCGAACAAACACTAGTGTAAATGTACGATGCCCCAACATATTCTGCCCTTCCAGATACCATCTTATGCATTTCAGTCAACATTGCAGCGTACGCATCGATTACCTGCAACATATGTCACCCATTACAACTCCACCACAATAGTAATAACAACTTTGTAAATTTACATTTCCATTTACATATTCTTCACTGTGTTTTAAAATTCATTTGCCGTTTCCGACTGCCACATCACTCAATTCACAAAGGAAGCAACGGTCAGATTTGCATATGTTTTTTAAAAATAATAATGAATCACTAAATACTGAACGATTCGTTACACGGAACCAGCTTACATTGCCGTGTATGGAGTTCTGCTGCACCAAATCTTTGATGTCCGTGAAATGGACTTGTATTCCATTGTGTCCACCATCCCACACTATTAACCTGCACACCGTGCACCAAAATTAAGAACCACCATAGAGCATAGTTTTACAAGTTGTACATGTTAAACAATAGAACATTTCATCCGAACAACGTACCCGTCCCCCTCTAAAGTGTACATTCTTTGTAGTAGTTCCCTGTCTTCATCCTTCACCATGTTCCACACAGTGTGCCGCCTATTCAGACCGAATCCATTCCATGTTTTACGCTCCACCTCGACGTCCTCAACACTGTAAATCACCCCGGGTTCAACTGATTTACCAAGTCTGACATTGGTGTTTACCTGTGGACGCCCAAATATGCCGGGATATTCGTAGTCTGATAACCTAAATTCCCGTCTTGCCTTGTTCTTCACCCTTTTGACAAGTGATGTAATTTTCGGCCCTGAACTTGCTGCACCTGCTGTGTGTTCACTATGACCTTCTACAACAACGACAGCTGCGCCATCCTTTACATTGCCATCAGCTACTGTCTCTGCATTTATGGGGCTGCAGCTACCCTCTCCCCTTGCCACAGTTGTACGTACAATCCCATCTGCAAAGTCATCTGTCAAATCTTCAATCCCAGGGTCATTGTCAACAAGTTGTA